TCTTTCTTTCTTTCTTTCTTTCTTTCTTTCTTTCTTTCTTTCTTTCTTTCTTTCTTTCTTTCTTTCTTTCTTTCTTTCTTTCTTTCTTTCCCTGTCTCTCTTTCTCCCCTCTTTCCCCCTCTCTCCTCTTTCTCCCCCTCTTTCTCCACCCCACTCTGTCCCCCTCTCTCTTTCTCCCCCCTCTTTTTCTCTCCATCTTTTTCCCTCTCTCCTCTCTCTCTCTCTCTCAGAAAGAGTGTGGAGAGAAGGTGAGAATGAGTGTAGAGGTTCATGAATTTGAATCTTATATTTAGTAGACTCAGGCAAAACAAGGGAAGAAAAGCACGAATACGCTCACTAAATGTGCTATTTTATGGTGGCTGCACGCCCATCCTTTCTGGGATTGTTGCTTTTTTAAATCTGTTACAAGTGGAAGAACCATATGGCATGTCAAACCTTATTGCTTTTGATGCTCTCTTTGCCTGTTGTTCAGCAAAAACTGGAAAAAAAATTATTTGCTCCAGATATGCAACCTCAACGCATGGCCTTTTGCTCCCGAAAACCTCACCACATCCCTTGTTGTTAGAAAATCCTCTTTTACAAACAGAATAAGAAGGGGCGGTTAGAGATCTTCTAGTCCAACTCCCTACTCAGGCAAGAAACCCCATACAATTCAATTTCAGACAAATAGCTGTACAATCTCTTCTTAAAAACCTCCAGTGTTGGAGCACCCACAAATTCTAGGGGCAAGTTGCTCCACGGATTAATTGTTCTAATTCTCAGGAAATTCCTCCTTACTTCTAAGTTGCTTCTCTCCTTAATTAGTTTCTATCCATTGCTTCTTGTTCTGCCCTCAGATGCTTTGGAGAACAGCTTGACTCCAGTGGTGGGATTCAAATCTTTATACTAACGGTTCTGTAGGCATGGCTTGGTGGGCGTGGCAGGGGAAGGATACTGTAAAATCTCCAGTCAGAGGTGGCATTTGCCGGTTCTCCAAACTACTCAAAATTTCCACTACTGGTTCTCCAGAACTGGTCAGAACCTACTGAATACCACCTCTGCTTGGATCCCTCCACTTTATGAAGGCCCCTTAGATCTTGTGAGACTGCTTTCATGTCACCCAACAAGCAGAGACGGTGAAGACTTAAAACAGTTTCCAACTATTTGCTCCCTCTGTAAGGAAATTCCTGAGTTCCATAGATCCTTTTCCAGCTCAGATAAAATCCAGGTCTACAAAACCACAGTCTCTTGTCCCTGTCAATGAAACGGATCTAGGTTGTCACAGCCATCTTTCCGTTTTTTCAGCTTCCCGCATACTATGGGGAGCGAGGGAGGGAAGAAGCTTGGAATGTTAGACCCAATTAATAGCAACAGGAACCAAGGTCATCTCAACAGGTGCTGGCCAGAGACTGGAAGGAGTTGCCAGGGAGATGCAAGAATATCTAATTGGACCATATGACCTGTGATAACGAGGGAGGGGAATACTAAAGTATACTTTAAGTACACTAAAACAGTATACTAACAGAAATAGTTAGAGCTGGTTTTGCTTTCATGCTTCCTGAAATGATGTACTCAATAAAACACTTCTTTTAATAACCTGATCGTCATCTCGGACTGCTGACTCAGTTGGGTTCATCAAGTTGGAGCCTTCTATACAGAAGATGCTTTATAATTTATAATTAGAGTTGGAAGGGGACCTTGTAGGTCATCTAGCCCAACCCCCTGCCCAAGCAGGAGACCCTACACCATTTCTGACCAGATGGCAGTCCAGTCTCTTCTTGACAGTTTCAAGTGGAGAAGCTCCACAACTTCCGAAGGCAACTTCTGTTCCATGGGTTGATTGTTCTCACTGTCAGCAAATTCCTCCTTATTTCTAGGTTGAATCTCTCCTTGATCAGTTTGCATCCATTGTTCCTTATCTGTCTTCGGGTGCTTTAGAAAATAGCTTGACCCCCTTCCTCCTCTCTGTGGCAGCCCCTCAGATATTGGAAGACTGCTATCCTGTCTCTCCTGGTTCTAAGAAAAGCAGAACTTATTTAAAAGTGCCCCTCACTTAAGAAAAACACTCCCTCCCAGCCCAGTCTGCTTCTGGAAGCATTTCCTGTGGATAGATACATCAAGTTCTTTATGAGCAGTCTCTGCGATTGAAATATTTATGGGTAAGGAGTGGAGAGGCAACTGAGAAAGGAGGAGGCAATCCAATTAGACTAAACTTCTATGTTTTCTCCCCCAGGATATAATAATAGCAACGGCACTCTGCCTGAAAACAAGGCTCTTTGATATTTCCACAGCCGCGCCCCATGCCTGCCTTCTGTTCTTGGAGAGGCAAGTAGCGGATTCAAAAATTGCCATCCTTACCACGCCATCTGTGTTTATCCAGCCCTTCCATTCTGAATTCTTTTATTTTTCACAATCACATCAAGTTAGTGACGTATAACAATCGGTTGTTTCTCGTTTGCTATACAATTAGGGAAATTAAAAGGTTTACAGGGAGTTCTCAACTTACGACCATTCCTTTAGAAATGTTCGAAGTTACAACAGCACTGGAAAAAAGTGACTTACGATGGTATTTTTTCACACTTACGACTTTTCTAGCATCCCCATGGTCATGTGTTCGAAATTCAGATGCTTGGCAACTGAGTCATATTTATGACGGTTGCAGTGTTCCAGGGTCACGTGGTCCCCTTTTGTGACCTTCCAACAAGCTAAGTCAAGTGGGGGAAACCAGATTTGCTTAACAACCGTGTTAGTGACTTAACTGCAGTGAATCGCTTAACAACTGTGGAAAGGAAAGTCATAAAATGGGGGAAAGCTCACTTTACAACTGCCTCACTCAGTAGTGGAAGATCTGGGCTTTCATGTGTTGGACACCACAGGCCATAGCATCGACTTCAATGGCACCAAAACCCTAGCCACTATAGAAAACCCCAGCTACAGAATTATGAGAGAAGCCATAGAGATTGAAAAAAGACCTTGAAAGCATGAATAGAAGAGATGATTCCACCAGACTGTCAATCATTTGGAAGCCTGCACTCACAGACAAAAGAAATCTCCACACCACAAGCCAGGCAAACACCTGAGCACAAACAGACCCCCACCACCGATACCTCCAGCTCAAACACACACCAACCAGGCACCCAGAGGAAACCTAGCTTCCTAATAAAAGATAGCCGTCCTTTTACCCGAAGCCAAGCCACACTAAAAGCCTCCAACACAGGAAACACAATGTTGCCAGCCAATCAAAAAATGCCACAAAACAGACAGAAGATATTAGAAACACCAATCAAGCAGAACACAGCAAACTCCAAGACCAATAAACACAGACCAAGATTCCCAACCAATCAGGATGAAGAAAAAACCATTCTAACACA